TTAAGTTATAAATAGCAGCTATTGAAATAAGTACCCTAATGGATGTAATTCTAGTGACAGGAGAAAAGGTGTCGAAGAAATCTATATTTTCTCTTTGTCTAAAACCCTTGGCAACAAGGCGAACCTTGTATTTATCAATAGTTCCATCAGGTTTTAGTTTCCTTTTCAAGATCTATTTACAACCGATTGGTTTGCAACCAGGAGGCAAGTCTACTAAGTGTCAGGTCTTGTTAGATTCTAGAGATTCTATCTCATCATTGATAGCTTCTTGCCATAACTAAACATCCAGAGATGACAAGGCTTCTTGAAGATTCATTGAATCTTCTTCTACATTATAAGCCGCATAATCAGGCCTATAGTCTTTAGCAACTCTTACTTGTTTACTTCGTTGAAGTTCTGTTTCTACATTGTCGTTGCTTTCTGTGCTTCTTATCACAGGAATGTGACTCGATTGTGTGCCCCCACTATTTATTAATTTGAAAGGAAATTTGTCTTCATAGAATTCAACATCAGTTGATTCTATGATCACTTTTGCCTTTAGGTCATAAAACCTATATGCTTTACTATTTGCTGCATACCCAATGAAAACACATTCATATGCTCTACTAGCGAGTTTAACTCGTTTCGAATCCGGAATTCTGACATAAGCCAGACAACCCCAAGTTCTCAAATAAGACAAGTTTTGTTGTCTTTTCTTTAATATCTCATAAGGAGAGATCTTACATTTTGACTTGGGGACTCTATTTAGGACATAGCAAACAGACAATAAAATTTCCTCCCACCAGTGAGGTGCAGTACCAAAATTCATCATAATTGCAACAACAAGTTCAGTAAGAGTTCTATTATTTCTTTCTGTTTTACCATTCATTGCAAGATAGTATGGTGCAGTCGTTTCATGTACAATTCCATGTATAAAATTCATTAATAAACTAGAATCATACAGTTTATCTATCACTACAAATTCTTATTATATCATTTTCAAATTCTTTACAAAAAATTTAAACATATAAACTTCATTCTTCGTAATGGCGTACAAATCTACCCCAATAGACTAACTCAACCATGTCTTATTTAAAAGAAAACCAGAAACAATATTCTTTCTAATCTTAGGAATATGAATAACGTTCCTTAAGATTAAAGTCTTTTTTAAGGTGAAATTTAGCTCCATATCTACAATTCCAGCAACATTCATGGTCTGACCATCTCCCAACAACACTTTCTTATCTTTAGTATTCGTGTATGTTTAAACATAACACGATCATAACAGACACAACGAGAGACACATGTGTCTATCCACCAACCAATATATCTATCAACCATGTTGATTTCAATGACCATAGCAATAAATTGCCCATTAGTCAGGTTGATCTGTGCATTAGGGACAACACCAAGTTCAACCTTACTTCTACATTTCTTAGTCATATGACTTGATTTTCCATAGTTAAAACAAAGAGAAACCAACGTCATTTCTTTTAGGTGGTGGTTGTTGCTTAGTTGGAGCTATTGGGATCATAGAAGGATTCCCATTCTTAATTCGGTTCGCAATATTGTGGTTCTGATTCTTTAATCATTTGCCAAATGGCTTCAGAACTACACCGAATTTCTTTTTGTTGTTTGAAACAACTAAGACTTTTTCTTTTTGATATTGTCTCTAAGATTCCCTTTTTGTTTTTTTTAAACATTCAAACTATGGGGTAGTTTGTCAATAATAAAACCAATTTGAAATTGTTCATTTAAACACATACCTTTTGTGATGATCTTTTAAGCAATTTTTTAAAGTTCGTAATATTGAGCCTCCATCGACCTTACATCTTTGTATTTGATACTTGAAGTAGCGGCTAACAACATACTTCTTTGCTCCAGCTTCTACGTCATATTTCTTTTTCTAGGTCTTTCAATCTTGTTTTGCAGTATCACATCAACTGTAATTATCATACAGATCATCTGCGAGTCTATTCAAAATATGATTTTGTAGAGATTTTCATTCTCTTTCTATAAGGTGATTTCTTTACTATGTTGTAAATCATCCGCTTAATCTGTGCAGCAGATTCAACTTCAACACTATTAAGTGCTCCTTCTAAATCTCCAAATTTACTACCGTTAGTTTATTCGATTGATCCAGAGGGAGCAACAGAATGTCATCGATCAGAACGTTAGCAACTTTTTTTCAACGTTAAGAACTTCATCTTTTATTGCCAACGTTTGAAGTGACTTCTCTCAAACATGAACGATTTCTCAACGACAATATCCGCAAAAGAACCAATAATTTCTTCGATAGTCGTGGCAGTTTGAAACGTCTTAAAATTGTTGGTTTCAGATTTTGAAATATTTGTCACCGAAGAAATTACCAGGTTGAGTCGCGGACTAGGTCGCTCTCTTTAAGACATTTCACGGCACTGCTCAAAATTATGCAAAGCAGTCAAACTACCGCGCCGCCTCCAAGATAAAATAGCCCAGTTCTATACTGTACGATTACTACTTGTATGATAGATAATCGGTCTAAAAATACACTCTCTGATGGTACAAGACCATTCAAATATGGTATCAACACCACTTGTAGTATCTGGTACAAAGACCAGTCATAGTAATTTCTCAAACAAAAAGAAACTCAAATAATTCTCCAAAGAGAATATAATAATGGTCATTTGACCACTCATAATAATTTCTCTAACAAAGAGAAATTCAAATAATTCTCCAAAGAGAATTCAAAAGATTAAACTTGAAAATTTCTCAACTCAAATGAGGAAAAATTAACATAATTCTCTAAAGAGAATTCAAGAAAATACTCGGAAAATTCAACGAGTAGGAAGAAAGGGGAAGAAGATGGCGCTTCGACAATTCGAGAGACGCAGAGTTATGAGAGTGAGGAAGGAAAAACTAATAGAGTAGTTTTTAGTGTAATTTGGAATGAAACATGTGCACTCCTTATATAGTGAAGTAAGATAGTTAATATTTCTCACATGAACAATGTAGGACTAAATGATTTTTTCAACCAAAAAAAAATATTCTAATAATGTGGGACTTGAGAAATTTTTAAATTCAACATATTAAAACATGAACATGTTCCAACAGAAGTCTGAAAGCCTTATATACACTTTTGAAATAGATCATTTTCTTAATCTTAGTTGTGATATGTGCTCTCTTTATTCTGATTCTATTACCATAATAGTTAATAATTAGATTATGATTTGTTTTGTTTGTTGTATAAATATCCGATAAGGTTTTCAATCCACTTCATTGTTGTCACAACATTTAAAATATAATGCTAAAATTGGACGGTTGAGAAAATATTTGCTGAAGATATATAATATTTTTTATTTTGAAGGCATCCCAACAAGTTACAATATTGACATGAATATGAATGTTATTAATTATATTAAATATTAAATATTAATAATTAAAAATTTATCTACAGTAGAGTAAAATATTGCAAATTTCTTTTTCAGCACTTTTATCTACTGTCAGATGTTGTAGCCAAAGAAAAATTTTTTTGGAGAGAAATAGTGACATATATCTAGAACTGTAGGCGACGGATTTTGTCCATCACTAATTTTCTTGCAGTGTGACCACAATTTAATGACCCATACTTAATTTGGCGTTAACCATATTGTGACACGAATGGGTGGACGAGACCTTAATTAATAATTGTGTTGGTTTGTGAAATGCCTCAACATCACATGAAGTAGTCGTCTCGTTCTCTCTATTCAAACAAAATCTCTAATGTGTATTGAATGTATAATAAAATAAAATATTATCACGAAATTGATAAGCCTTGGAGATCGATCACATACAACAATTTTGTCGTTCCCATAAAAAGTTGATTGGCGGTTATCCCATCAAAAAGTTGATTGGCGGTTATATATATATATATATATATATATATATATATATATATATATATATATATATATATATATATATATTTTGAGTTAATAATTCATTCGCCTTCTGCCGCGAGTTTTGATAGATTTCCGTGTAAAAGAAATTCAGATTCCCGTCATGTTATTTAAAGATTTTCTCATTTTCCGTCTTGAACAAGCCAATTCATCCAAAATACTTACGTGATACTGAATTATTTATTTATTTATTTGATTTATATTCTATGTGTGTAACTTATCCATAGAAATGACAACCATATCTGTGTTATAATTTAACAAAACTAATACATTGATTTTCTTTACATCTAGTGAATTAACACCGTGAAATAAAAACTGAAAAACGCAAGAAACATATGAAATAAGCCAACTTGTCAACATAGCATAATAACAATGCTTTTTGATGAGCACTCCTAATAACCATGATTACCAATGACACAACATGTTTTGAAAACCAGTTTAATAAGACACATAAATTTAAAACCAACATTCAAAATCCCATCAAAACAAAAAGAGACACATAAATTAAGAAACATCATATGCAAAACTCTAATAAGAAGAGGCACATTCTCCAATATTTTCAAATACACTCCCTTAGCCTTACTCAAGAACTCCATTGTCTCGTAATAAAACGCAAGCAAAAGCCTCCACTCAACTTTGTCCAGTTCCTTATCAAACAACCTCTTTATAAACTTTTCAGCTTCCTTACACTTCTCTCTCTTGATTTTCCCATATACAGTCACATTGAGAACCTCCATGGATTAAGGTGTTGTGACTGCAAAATCGGGCCTTTTGCTGAAATAACCGGTGAAGATAAGCGATCCAATAAGAAAAAATATGACATTTTGTAAAATTAAGTTGGTTAAAGTACTTTAAGGTGAGAAAGTTGAAGAAGGTTTGATTGAGATGCGGGAATGAGAGCAAAGTGAGAAATGGGTTGCGCGGGATTTGGATGGTTGAAGAGAAAGTGATAGGGGTTTGTTGTGGGTATGAATCTATAGAAGAAGGAGTGAGTTGGGGAACTTGGATTGAAATTCAGAGAAGATGAAGAGAGAAGCGGTTGCAATAGAAGTCATCTTATTGTCCGTCGTCTTCGGTGGAGAGCAAACCCCTTTAGTAATTACTTCAAACGCGTTGTTGTTGTGGTTTATTTTTGATTTCGTTTGAATTAGGATTTTGGGATTTCAAAACCCGATCTAGAACACTTAGTGAGGTTTTTGGGGTTTCAAAATCCGATCTAGAATACTCAGTGAGGTTTTTGGTTAATCTGAGTTTGAATCCGTGATCAGGGTTTAAAGTTGGGGGGTGCTTATGTTGAGCGTTTTTGGTTTTAGGTTTTTTCTGGTAGGGTTCCACCGGACCACCAACCACTTCATCTTCTCCGGTGACGAAGGTGTTGATCATTGTTTTGTTTTCTACAGAGAGTAGAGAGAGAGATGAGAGAGTGTTAGAGACAAAAGAGAGAGTGTGTTAGAGGGATTTGATATAATTGTCATTTCCATGGATAACTTACACACATGAAATATAAATCAAATGAAAAACTAAAAAAATCCAGTACCACGTAAGCATTTTGGATGAGTTGGCCTGTTCAGGAGGAAAATTAAGAGAATCTTTAAATGACAGGATAGGAATCTAAATTTTGTTTACAAGGAGGTTTATCAAAACTCACCCAAAAGATAAAAGACGAACTGACTATTAACCCTTTTATTTATTTTTATTTCTTTCATGATTTGATTTGTTTGTTTAGTATGGACCATATTGTTAAACTTGTCCTTGATTTGCTATATAAAATTAGATTTTCTCCTCAAAAAGAACTAAATATAATCCAACATAATACACTTAAAAAATTAATATTTTGTAATTTTTACAAAATCTATTTTACAAAAATTATACTCTGTTTGATAAAATTAGATGATAACTGATGATTTATAACTGATAACTGGTAGTTGATAGTTGCTAACTGATAAATTAATTTGAATATTTGATAAATTAATTGTTATACTAATTGATAAATACAAAATAATATAAAAATATATTCTTAATTAAGAAATTGATAATCTCATTATATTATTATATTATTATATTATATAACTAAATTAATTTTTATAAAATAAAAATAAAAATATTAGCAAACACATGCCAAAATATATATATATATATATATATATATATATATATATATATATATATATATATATATATATATATATATATATATATATATATATATATATATATATATATATATATATATATATATATATATATATATATATATATTAAAATTAAAAATAATAAAAAAATATATCGAACAATTATATATACATTTTTAAATAAACTTATTTAATAATATTTATATATAAATTTAATGAGATATATAAAATAATATTTAATTCAATTATATTAATTTAAAATAATAATAAAAATAAATTTATTATCTATTTTACGATAAAATTCTAATATTATTACGAATATTTATCGTATTGATAATCTCTTAAGATTTCACAAACTTAAGAATTAATATTAATATCTCTAAATTTATTATAAAATATGTAATTTGTATATTGTTAAAAAATATTTAAATATTATATTTTCTTGTTAATCGACACGACTATAATTATGCAATGCAAAAACTATATATATATATATATATATATATATATATATATATATATATATATATATATATATATATATATATATATATATATATATTTTAAAGGATAAAAATATATTTTTGTTAATATGAACGGAAAACCTAAAAACTAAAAGTTTTTTTTTCTTCTAATGTTACTAAACAGAGTCTTAGTTCTGGGGTTTGAGTTAGAACTTAGAACAGTGAAGAAGTTACATGCAAGTAGTATAAATTATAGTATGGATTGCAAAACAAGACAAATCAAAACTGGTTGTACTTATTGCACATAATTTAAATTTAGAGCTTTATTCAAAATGAAACAAAGTGTTATCCGTCGTTAACCAATATCCACCGACAGAACATATGAGTGAAATGGCCAAAAGTATAATAACTTTATAATTGATGACAATGGTGGGGCCTTCTTCAAATCGATCAAAGAATGGGCCACAAATTAAACTTCTAAAGCTAGATGAGTAAACGGGTCACCAAGAAAATAAACCACAGACCTAGAAAATCAAACAAAATCTTATATTTAAATCGAATATAAAGATTCAATCCTAAGCGAAGATTATCTTTGAAATCCACCTAAACTATTTTATTGGCAAATTATTTGTAAAAGAAATAAATAAAAGAGATAATCAAATTTGTCAAAGAGAAGTGAAGAAAGAGCAACCATGTATAGCAAAATAAAAAACACCAGATCAACATAGTGCTAATAAGACCCACAACAAATAAAGTTAGAAGACCCACAACTCACTCTCAGGCCAGTCTCTTCACAACCAGAAATAATTAGGTAACCACACAAAGACTTATCTCAACAAAAGTAAAGATAAGATTCAACAACCGACTCATAAAAAATTAATTATATACATTTACGTGTTTGACTTCTCGTTATCTCAAAATCTTTTTTTATAGTTTCGCTTCTATTTTTTTAAATTGTTGTGTTTAATTTCTCATCATCTTGTCTACTCCCTTTATAACAAACTACAAATTTCGTTCAAATCACTAAATTTATTTTTCTTTATCTTTTTTATCATAGGTATTATCACAATACATTCTCTAATATTGTCATTTATAATTTTATATCGTCTAGTTTCATTACACATCTAACATAACATCTTTAATCTATGTTATATTCACATTATTTTGATATTGAATCTAACATTTTATCACATACAATATTGTAGGTTTTATTGATGTCTGATAAAGTTTTCCATTCAGTTTATGTGATGCTTTCGTGTCCTATAAAATTCATGAGATTCTCCTCCATTTTAATCACCCAATTTGAATTCGATGGCTTACATTTCCTTTAATTTCTCCATCTTTTTGTGTTACATATCCAATATATTTAAACCGCGTGACTTCTGAAATTATATGGTCTTCAACTTTTACCTCTAAGTTAATTTTTTTTTTCCTTTTACTAAAATTATATTTCATATATTTCGTCTTACTTATACTTAGACAAAAATCATTCATTTTTTAGGCTTGTCTCCAAGTCTCTTACTTCTCATTTAAATCCTTCTTCGACTCTACAAGTATGCACTACTACAAAAAAAAAACATTTTACATTAATTCCAAAAGGAATTTTACCTCAGTTTCACATGCGAGGTAACAAACAGTGTCATGAAAACTTGTCACTTTATCCCTCCAGTTTATGCTTTACTGAGGAAAAATTTGTAAAGGTCATTGGTTTGATTTCCGACAATAACCTTTTTTTTTTTTTAATTTTCAAATCTATAAAGTATGTGTCACATACCTTTCGATTTTAAAGGAAAGTATTTATGTCAGTTATATATATTAATCGAGGAGTATATTTTTTTGTCAATTATAATTTGTTTTAAATTTCAATTTGACTTTCTTGTATTTTTTTACACAAAAACTACAAATTTTATGGCAGAATCAGAACAAATTATTTTAAACAGAACATAACGTAATATACACAGAATACAAAATTACATTGTTTAAAAAACCAAATGTATACATACCTAAAATGGTACACCACGAGAACCTATACATATTTGAAAACAAAATCATATAATAACATTTGGGATACATAAAACATATAATGTAGCAAGAGAACCTGTACACATTTAAACCTATAATGACAAAAAATTTATACAATGCTTACAACAACCAAGAAACACTAGTATTGTTGAGATTCATAAAAAAATAGGAAGGCATCAGCCCAATATGATCGAATGTCATATGTATCTACTTTAGGAATGATGTTCGGTCGCTAAACACCTATAATTTGAACAAAATTTAAATTATGATCAACTAACAACAACAACATTACATTAATAAATATAAATAAATTACATATATATGGATAATGTTAATACATTAACTCATGAATTAATAATGCCTTTGGAGACAATATTTAATATATGTCTCATAACATAGTATCCACATGAAAAGTTGTCGGGTTGTTTTTACGATTAAAAATGACTGTCATATAGTTACTAATTAACACACACATATCACAAATAATACATTAGCGAAAATAAAAGAATGTCACAAACCACAAGTAATACTTACTTTTGAGAAAATTAACCTTGCCTTTTTACATCTTATTCTATGTTGCACAAAATTGTATCCATCCACAGTTTTACATGCCAGTAAAAAAACCATGAATAAAAACTATTCAAAACTAAAGGTAAAATTTGAGTATTACAAATTATATCACTTACACGCTCAAAACTTCATTCATCCTTGAATCAAAATCATAATGTAACGAGCATAACATAATTACAATATTTTGCTTTAGACATATATTAATTAGTTGTCAATATGAACTGTATAAACATTCATAATAATTAATAATGTGTATAAATTTTATTAATAAAAAGAAAATACAAAGTAATATATACTTATGCATGGTAAAACGGTCCTACGTAATATTCTTTATTGTCATCAATCAATTTATTTTGTATGTACGTCGTGATATCATTCGCCCCCCATTGTTGAAATTGAATTTTGATAGGGTCTAAGAAACAACGAAGTTCTTTGTTAATTTGTCCTTTGAATTAGATGTATTTTACAAAACAATAACATGTAGAAGTGTTCAAAGTGTTCAAGTTGATCTAGGTTTCTTAAGTTGTATGGAATTACAGAAGAGGCACATGTTGGACATGATGTCTCAGCATGTGGTACGATAACTGGGACTTTGTTCAATACGTCAGACTATTGTGTTTTGGAGTATGTTTTGCAGAATATTTGTTAAAGATTTTACTTTTATTGATTTAACAATATGACTAGGTGATTTGTTTGACAACTTGACGAAGGTTAATTTAGATTTAAATAGCGATTTAAATTTTAATTTAAATTGAAACAAATCATATTTTGTTGGAGAGATTTAAGGAACAAACAATATCCAACAAATTCCGCGTCAATTCTGGATGAAATCAAATCAAATAACCATGAAGTAAATCCTAGAAGAATTATGTTATATAAGGAGCACTTTCCTAGCTATGAAGACATGACTCATACATTGAAGATCAATAGAGTTTAGAGTTCAAAGAGTGCTTGTTTTATGTTCACCACTATATTTCAGTAATTTGACACATCAGGTTTGTCTAGTTGAGGTGTAAGATTCAATATCACTCATAATTATGGTTGAGGTTGATCATTAGCTTTAGTGATTGAAAGTCCAAACACTTGGGTTAATGTTTGAGAGAAAGTGAGAATGGTTCTCATATTTAGGGGGAAACCTAAATAGAAAATCATTGAGGAGTGTTACGAAAATGCATGGGACAACATATGGTTTGTT